CTGAGTTACTGGCTGGGCTTAAACCATGACAATATCACCTACCTTAAGCATTTTAAACATGTTTGTCAGCTTAACAGTGCAGACAGTGCTTTTAAGTTAATTTCGTTGGCCTTTGTTGACAGTCATCTTTTCTCTTCCTTTTTACTGTCATCTGTTTACTCAGATGATAAAAGTTAGAACATACAATTTAATTTAACCTGTAAACTAACAGCTTTGCTTTTGTCATTATAAAGCTTGACCAAAGGTTCATCAGAGTAAGTGAATTCTGTCCTTTTATTTAGAATCGTAGAATAGTTAGGGTTGGAAAGGACCTTGAGATCATCAATTTGATGGTCCTACTCCCCTGCCATGGGCAGGAATACCTCGCGCTAGACCATGTCACCCAAGGCTTTGTCCAGCCTGGCCTTGAACACCGCCAGGGTTGGAGCATTCATAGCTTTCTTGGGCAACCTATTCCAGTGCCTCACCACCCTCACTGTAAAGAACTTCTTCCTTAGATCTAACCTAAAGTTCCCCTGTTTAAGTTTAAAGCCATTACCCCTTGTCCTACCACTAGAGTCCCTAATGAAGAGTCCCTCCCCAACATCCTTGTAGGCCCCCTTCAGACACTGGAAGCTGCTCTGATGTCTCCACGCAGCCTTCTCTTCTCCAGGCTGAACAGCCCCAACTTTCTCAGCCTGTCTTCATACGGGAGGTGCTCCAGCCCCTGATCATCCTCGTGGCCCTCCTCTGGACTTGCTCCAACAGCTCCATGTCCTTCTTGTGTTGAGGACACCAGAACTGGACACAATACTCCAAGTGGGGTCTGACGAGAGCAGAGTCGAGGGGCAGGATCACCTCCTTTGACCTGCTGGTCACGCTTCTTTTGATGCAGCCCAGCACACATTTGGCTTTCTGGGCTGCAAGTGCACACTGAAGCCTGCTCATGTTATTTCTTGCATGTCAAGTTGCAGCTGAAGCTGAAGCCACACAGATCCAATGCATATTCTGAATTTTATAATCTCAGTCTTATACTTCATTGGTTTATTAAGCCTAATAGACTTTCACATCAAGTGAAATGCAGATCTACCACCAGATTCAACAGGATCAGTACTGAGTACAAACCTCAGTCCTTCCTTTATGAGAAAGCTACATCCACTTTTAATTGTGTTTAGTTGTAAAGGTTGAAACAACAATTGATATATAATCGCTACTTCAAAGAGAAAGCATTAGGGAATAAATGAAAATGAAATGTTTCATTTTGCCTAAATCTCCTATTAAATAAAACTAGTTATGTATTTTTTCAATGTTAATGTTTTTAATTTTTGAGAATTAAAAGCCCACAACAGTTTGCATGAGGGATCATCTGTGCTTATAGAAAAATGCAAGTCTTTAAAGAATGGTGGGGTTTTTTTCTGGATTTGTAACTGTGTATCACTTTTACAGGGGGAGGCTTTCCAGAAGATTTTTCAATATTAATGACAGTAAAACCTAAAAAGGGGATCCAGTCCTTCCTTCTATCTATCTACAATGAGCAAGGAATTCAGCAAGTAGGTGTTGAAGTTGGTAGATCCCCTGTCTTCCTGTTTGAAGACCAGAATGGAAAACCTGCCCCAGAAGACTATCCTCTTTTCAGAACTGTCAACATTGCTGATGGCAAGTAAGTGTAAAATTTTAAGATGAAAAATGCTACCACAGACCACTGTGTAGGTGATTATGGTCTTTACAAACTGTCATCGTAAATATTTAAGTAAATCATTAATGCTGTTTCCAGCTGGTTGGACTGCTGTGGTACAAAATCAGAGAACCTCTGCAGCAGATTACAGTTCCAGCTTCATATGGTGTATACAGGTACAAATAAAGCCAAACTACCACTGTTCATATTTGCCATTTCTATAAATCAAGAGTGAAGAAATTATCATAGAAGATAAACCCACCAAAACTAATTCTATGAAGATTGTTCTTGTGCAATATAGAAGGAAGCTGTTTTCAAAATGACTCAAGGAATAGTCTCACTAGAAAGGCTTATTTGTCCATTTAAAGGTGAGAGGAAGAGTGAAGACAAGACAGCATAGAATTTCTCTTACCCTGAACCAAAACAGCAGATAAATAAGATGGTTTGAGATGACTATATATAAGGAAATGAGGGAAGAATAAGGTGGACAACTGATCTTTACACTGTGCCCTCTGTAAAGGCAATTAATCTCAAATACCTATTGTGTTATTAATGCAGTTGTTAATTTTTTTGTACCTAACTTCCCTTTGTAGACAAGCAGCCATTCCCTGGGAATGTCTTTCTAGTGCTTGTAAAAGGACATTCGTTCTTTTGAAGTCTTTTTACTCATTGTGCTGCAGCCCAGGAAGAGCAGCCGGAGTTTTCAGAGACACACAGAAAGAAATGTTATTAAAGCAAAATAAAAAGAGAAGAAAATATCAGTAGAGAAGGAAGGGCAGAAATTCATCTCTAATAAATATGTTCATAAAGCAGTAATGGAAAAAGAGAGAAAAAAGTAATTTTCTTCTAGCCCTTGTATTACCAGAGAATGGAATTATACCATGAAACCTAAACCTGATGCATTTCTGTAGCAGAAGCAGTGATAACACAAAGTAAGAGAATTTGACATGGAATTCAGAATTTTACCCAAAATGTTGATAAACTGATAAAAAATGAAGAAACCAACATGAATTTGGTTTGGTCCAATTTCCTGCAGTGAGACTGTGCAACTTCAAAGTCAACTGGAGTCAGTCGTGCGCACAGTGAGCTGTGATTTCATGCTTTCAGCTTCTACATGCTTTCAAAAGATAGACTGGCAGTATTCATCTGGCTCAGCTATTTTATGAAGGATCTAGGACAACAATCTTCATCTCAAAATGAGATATATTTAATAAGTGTAAAGAGAGTAATGTGCCTGAGGATGCATGGACAGTTTGCTTTTGTAATGATAATGTTTAACTGTGTTCCAGAGAAAACATGGAATTATAGTTCTGGCTCAGTGATACTGTTCATCAGTCAAATTCCATTAGCTTCGAGATGTTTTTTTGATACATAGAAGCTTTTTAAAACAGTAATCTAAGCTGTCTCTCTGATGTAGACAATCTTAGTGCCACAAGTGCCAACTGAAATAATTTGATTCTAGCTTTCCTCTTACCAGTCGCTAATGTAACATTCTTTGACACTTTTTGCCCTGGTCTATCAAAGATTCTTTGATGTTTTTTTCCATAGTAGATTACAGAGTGGCCTGCTCTTGCTGTTTGATATTTGAGTTGTCATAGTAGAGAAGCTCACTAAATTAATGTGGTTTGTCATGATAATAAATTCTCATAAAGGACATAGCATAGTTGGGCAAGCTGTAAAAAACTTTATTCTCAGATGCCTTTAAAATAAAGTCATTTTTCAGCATTCTAAATCGCTTCATTCACTGTAGCAGGAAGCGTGGCAAGCATTTGTAAGTATATGTATCTGCAAAAGCATCTGTGTGGGAATTGTTGTACATCTTTGAAAAATGTCCATAGTTATGGGATACATTCAGATAAGCAAAAGAACATGGTAGTAATTTGGTGATTGATCACAGAGAACAAATATTAAAATGTAAATAACAAAGACTAAGGTGCTGGATTAAATATATTAGCACAAGTAATTCCTCAAGTAATTTGGAGAATCAAGCACACTCAGAAAAACCAGATCTGCTGTCAGATGCTCTATCTAATAAAATGTAAACAATTCATTTGCTCCTAATTTGAGTTTACTAATGTTCTCTGGGTAAAGCTTCAGAGAACGTCAGCTTGAACTTCATCTTATACAGGATATTCACAATGAGCTATGGATCAAACTCCTTTGTTCTAAGGACAGAACTTTTGTACTGTTCTTTTGTACTAAGTGACAGAAGTTAAATAGACAAGACATTGTTTTCATTTGTGTGTGTATGTATGAAAGAAGGAAATAAATGGAGACATTTAAAATTCTATCTGTGACTTGCTTGGTGCATAATCTACAATAAACTGTCCTGAAAAGAATACAATGACCTATTAAAACCAGAAATTACAGTAGAATTGTTTGGTTTTTTTTTTAATAGGTGGCATCGAGTAGCTATTAGCGTGGAGAAAAAAAGCATTACAATGATTGTTGACTGTAACAAAAAATCTACAAAACCACTTGAAAGAAGTGACAAAACAGTTGTGGACACGAATGGCATCACTGTCTTTGGAACCAGGATTTTGGATGAAGAAGTTTTTGAGGTAAAAATCTGTACTGCACAAATGGAGTTGAGTGATTTTGTGTAGAGTGAAACGTTTAATGAAAATCAGAATGTTTGGGTGGGAGGTTTGGGGGTTTTTTGGTTTTGGGTTTTTTTTGGGTGGTGGTGTTTTGGTTTGGTTTTTTTTTTTTGTTTGTTTGTTTGTTTTAGGGCAGAAGCTGGTATAATGTAGAAGCTTTGATTTATAGAACCTCTTAGGGTAGAATGAAATAAAAGAGAAGTAAACCAGGGAAGTGTCTCTATTGTTGGAAGACATGACACATTTTTCTGTTCTTTAGATTGTTGTATCTGGAAGAGGTTTGCATTTTTATTTTATTTTTTTGTCTTTCTGCCTAATACTGAGGTACCTGAGATATTTAGGAGAATTATTCTGGGAAAGTTGAGTAGTATGATACTGAATCATTTTACTTCTGTCTCTCTTAAACATTTACAGATACTTGTGCATGTTAACAGTATCTGAGAGAGGGGGAGAAGGACCTGCAAAGTTTTCTGTGTAATATGAATCCCTTATATTGTTTATCCCACTTACTACACTTTCCAGTAACTGGAACATACTTTGGCAATAAGGACATATATGTTTCCATCATTTACTGGCCAAGAAGTACATATAGGAATGGTAAAATGCCTCTAAGGAAGTATGTGACTGCCAATCATGAGGCCTCTCTAGGTAGAATCCTTATGTCAATGATTATTTTTACAGGCTAATAATGCAGCTTCTCTAAATCTGCAATATTGAGTTTCTTTTATAATATTGTTACACAACAGTCAGTCAAATTTCAGTTAAAGCTGAAAAATAAGAAAATACAGATCAGTAGTTAGCTTACTTCATATAGAGAACATCTGTGCTCCATAAATATCCAGAGTCGTAATTCTAGCTTTAAGCAGAGAATATCCTTGAGAAGCCGTGTGGGTATCAAGAGAGGAAATATGAATTCTGAGTGTAACACTGTGTCATTGTTACCTTTCATATCCATGAACATGATGAAACATGAGCCTTTTGAATGGGGAAACTTCTGGCGTATTAAATGGATCAATCAGTATGTGTATGATACTCACAGCCTAATTTACCTGTGGTCCCCAGTACAGTTTGCACATCTGAGGGACGTTACTTTCCATTTGAAGAAGAATTCCATAGATGCCTTATCTGAGGTGGGACAAGGATTTTTGTCTCCACATGGGATAATTGCTTTCAATTTTCCCTTGTATTTCTTTCATAGGTCAGAAACCAAGTCCTGCAATACGTATGCTTGGCAATAAATTGTCAAAATGTGTGCAGTGTTCATATGGATAAGTAAAAATAATTCAGCAAAAACCTCAATAAAAGGAGATAAACTGGGATTTTGTTAGTGTTTTACAAGTGATTTCAGATTCTAATAGAAACTAAGGCAACAGGCCCTGGCTTGTTCTTGCAAAGTTTGTAACCATTTTAAAAGTTGTCGTGGAAGGAACTGTACAATAACTAAACATTAGCATTTGGTTTGGTTTAGTCAGTGCAATTGCTAAATAAAAAGCCTTGTCTGGAGTTTCAGAGGTGCTGAAAGAATTGTACAGAGCTGTTTGAAAATAAGTATCGTAGGTAATGAAAATCCTAAAAAAAAAATTTTATTAAAGAGCAATTTAAGACCATTCCCATGAGAATACAGAAGGAGCATAGGCTAAGGAGTACATAAAATAATAGTTCTGGAGGTTTCCTGCTATGTCATTCTTCTGTCGCAAAAGTTACTAGCCACTGAGAAAGAAAGATGAAGCCTTGAGTCATAAAAAGAGTAACTATTTAAGGCAAAATAATTCCTGTTCTAGCAGTTCCTCCTCAGGTACAGTTTTCTCCATCCATCCATTTTGCAGTTGTATATACAATTCTCTCTGCCCTTTCAAGCCCTATAGAGGAGAAGAGATGGGATGGGATGTGATAGAATGCAATTATTATTTGCTTAGCAACTGTTGGAAGAGTCAGTAAGGTTGGATTAAGATTTAGCAAATTGAAATTGGTACTTAAAAATCAGAATTACCAGATTTATTGAAGAAACCCCCAAAATAACCTTACGTTCACTTACGTGAAGTCAACACAGACATGAAGATATAACTTCGCTAGAATGAATGTAACTTTGCTGGAATTTGCTAGAATGACTTAAATAAAAATACTTTTCTCTGTGTGTGTGTGGGGGGGGTTGTCATATGTTGAAGGATATAAAAAGAAGCTAGTGGTCATCTGACAATTTTTTTTTGCTGAAATCTCCTACATTGACATGTCAAGTCAGTGCTTCAGTTCCAGCTGAGACACCCTAAGAAGAAAGATGGCTTTTGACTCAGAAAAGAAATAAGAAATTGTGCAGCTGTCTGTGAAGTCCACTTACAGACTAAATCTTAACATTCTGCACTAAACCCAGCAACACTTACACCATTTGTAACATCACTGTACATTTCTGTATTCTTTCAGTGATTGGGTTTCCTTACTTAACTGATTGCCCCCCTTTTCTCTTGCTTTATGCAGAGAAATCGGTTACATTATTGTAAGGATGTTGTAATTGCTAGGGGTTTAGATTTAGTCTGAAGTCTCTTAAATTAGAAGCTTACAGTCTTTTCTTTTAGGCTAGGTTTCTACTTTCTCTTTTACTGCACAGCCACCATGGGTACCTTTGCACCTATGTTGACTTATTTGAATCTTTAGCTAGAAATGTGCGTGTTGAAATTACGATGTCCCTCAAAGCTTGCACAAAGTACTGTGCCCTATATGATTTTAATGATATGTGTCCTTCAAAGTCTAGCCAAGACAAACATAATCTAGTTCTTTTGGAGTTTGTCTGGTATTTTTCTACTCTCTAAACAGCATTCTTTTTCTTTCATTAACAAGATTTTATCCATCCTTTAGTTACTGCTGTTAGAGTTTCTAAAGTTTGGGGTTGTTGCCTGAAATTTGCCTCGTGCTTGAGAGTCCTCTGGTTGTGTCTTAAATGTTTTGTTTATCTCATTCATGATAGTACAGAGTGATGTTTGGTGGTTCCAAGGCTGTCCTTGGTAGTAGTATTTCTGTGTTATGAACCCTGATATATGTTGAGACTGCAACAGGCACTAACAAAACAGATAGCACAATGTGTCTTATTCTTTGTGCAGGGAATTCCAGAAATGAACTTATTGAGCCATGACATAAGATGTAAATATTTAATTTTAAATATTTAAGATGTAGAATTGGTTATTCTGTCTGTGAAAGACAGAATTTCCTTACAACATTTATTGCCTTTATTAGCTTACATGTAGGAAGGACCTGAGTGTATGGTGACCTGTTGGAATTCAGAGTACAGTGTGTCAGAAGGAATAATATTGTATCCATGCATCACTTTGGATGTTTTATCTTGGGTAATAATGATGGTTTTAGTCATAATAAGCCTGTGGTTTGATCACAGGAACTGTGGAGCACTCTCCAGGCTCCTCAAACTGAATGGAAATTCAAAATGTGGAAAAAAATTAACCTGTTGGTAACCGTAATGAAACCTTAGGCTTCAGTGATCTCCTAGTTGATCAGGGTTTCTTCTGGTGCTGAACTCATTAATACAGCATAACACAACTGCACAAAAACCAGTTGCATCATTAAGGTAATTTACTCCTGTTGAAAGCAGAATTCAGGACTGTTAGAATCAGTGCTGGAGACAATTAGATACATCATATGTTCCTGTTCCTTTAGAGAGTATATCTAAACATCTATGAATTCCTGCATACACACACGAGTCAGAAATAGATATTATTAACATGACATTATTCTGACCTCCTGACAACTTCATTGTATCTTTGGAAAAAAGAATTACTTCTTCAGTCATATTGTTCTGATATATTCATATGGAAAATTCATTTAGAAGCCTCAGAACAAATACTGCTCGTGTGAGGAATATTTCACATTTATTTTAAAAGTGTTAAATCACGGTGGATCAAATATTCTTCTTTGTTTCTCTTTAATTTTGTAATACAACAATACAAATTAAATTCTTGGCTTTTTTTTTTTTTTTTCCTGTTCCTAATATTAACTACTGTTTTCTAGGCAGTTCTCCCACCTTTGTCTGACTATTGCTAACACAACAATATATTATAGTACACTGGGAAATTCTAAATGCATACATTCTGATTGGTTTGACATGATTGCTTTGATGATCAATAATTTCTGAGTAATTAAGCTTGCTGGATGTCCAGAGAGCAGGTAGATCATGACTGCAAGAAGGAAAAGCCTGATGAGTGTCCTAAGAGCATAAGAAATGAGTGCTTTGCTATTTTTGTATATTCAACAAACAATAGTTCTCGGTAAGTTTACCTACTGGTGCTAAAGCTAAGAGGCATTTTTTAGTAGGGCTCTCAGCAAGATCAGAGGAAATTCAGATTTGAGCCTGCTGCTCATCTGAGATTTTATGACATCATGCCAAATCAGGAGACCTTCATTTACACTGCTGAACACTTGCTCACTGAAGCGAATCTGTTGATATCAGTAGGACTAACTTGTAAATGCTTGTTTAGGAAGACTGATACAGTATATCTCAAACTTTTACATGTCATTTTAAATTAAGCTTTTCTGTGTTTTCAAATACATAGTGCGAGAAGGGCTTGTTTGTAAATGCTTGCTGTGAAGAAGAAAATTCCTTAAAACAGCATACAAAAAGAAAAAAAGGGAAAAAAGTTAGATGCTGCAGATGTTGGTACATGGCACCTAGTAAAAGAATTTTGAATTGTATCAATTGAAATATATTTGTAGCTTAAATGTTTGGTAAATAGCAGGGATCTTTTTACTCTTTGCCAGCTTTAAGGATTTGTCACTCTTCATTTAGTGCTATTGTTGTGAGCAATACAACAGCTTTTTATAATAAGTATTTTATAATAAGTTAATAACTAACAGAGCCTTTATGCAGGTATTTCCTTATAAAGACCTTTTTGTTTCAAAACTCCCCCCATGTCAGACCAATACAATGATTTTTTTAGGCACTGTGCTGTAAATGAGTGTAA